ACAAAATAATATCGCAGTTTTGTGCAAAAAATAATAATTTATTATCCCATTTCTTTTTCGTCCAATTATTGTAGATTTCTATAAAATAAATATAATACATATATACATTACTACTATTCCTTTAATGGCCTATCATTACTTATGATAGACGACTAAAACTGTATTTTTGTAGAATTCACCGTGACCGCCGCCCTCTTTTACTAATTATATATTAACGCCAAATTAGAATCGCGTTTTGCTCGTCCCGTCCATCTAAAATTTCACGGCCTAAATGTACAAAACAAATTCATGAAAACATTATCCGGAATTACACCGGTATTATTTTGTCCGATCGTGCGTTCTTCTCTCCCGGACAATCGCGGTTTGTCACGTGTATTAACTTTTTTCGGAATTTGTTTAATAAAACATTTAAAAAACAAACAGCTCTAGAATTTTACATAAATGCTATTTTTATCACCCTTATTTTTGAAGGTTGACTTTTACCTACTTTTGATTTTCAAACGGCAATCTATATTAAAAGTCCCATGCGTACATGGAATATTAGTTTAAATACATTTTGGTGTTAAATTTTTTGATTTTCATCAACCCGTTGACGAGATATTCCACTTTTAAGTTAAGTATGGGTCGGGGGAGAGTAGTAAAACATCATTTGTGTGGTGGCACGGCGCGCGGCGTTTTAATAATGCACCACTACTCTCCCCCGACTCAAACTTAAAAGTGAAATACCTCGTCAACGGGTAGATGGGAATCAAAAATGTTAACATCGAAATGCATTTAAACTAATACTCCATCTATGTATAGAACTTTTAATATAAGTATGTTGCCATTTGAAAATCAAAAATAGGTAATGGTTTTACCTCAAAAAATAACATAAATGTAAAATTTTAGAGCTGCTCGTTTCTTAAATAGTCCGGGGATGAGCAAGAAAAATATTATCTAGATACATGATACATTAATATTTACTTCTAGATACAAGATACAGTATACATTCCATATTTTCCAAAAGATACTAAATACTAAACACTGTATCTAAGATACAAGATACATTAATAATAAAAACTTATAGAATTTTCTTCTATATGATGTCAGGTTTTAACTTTGTTTATAATGAAATAAAAAATAAAAACATATTACAAATATTGTGAAAAAAAATACTCTATTATTATTATTATTAAATAAAATTTTAATATCAGAATATATAATATCAAAAATGGCATATAACCATAAAAATGTAACCGCTGTAATGCAATTATTGTAAATAACATTAGAATAAAAAAATAAATGAATGATTTATGTCGTGATTTATATCTAGTATCTAGATTTAAATATCTAAGTCAATTAACTTCAAAAAATACAAGATACAAATGTATCTAAGATACGCATCTTAGATACTGTCCATTCCTGAAAAAGTCTATAAAACAAATTACGAAAAAAATTAATACTTCCCGAGATAATGAGTGCACCCACTTAAATGAATCACCTTATATATTATATATTATTATGCATAGTAAAACGCTGACTACTGTCATTATACTATTATAATAATAAAACAATGGCGAGAAAATTTATAATTTTGGCTCGAAATCCGAATTCGAGTTTTGGCGAGTGTTTAGCGCACAATACCGCAACCGATACAGGGTTCCGTCGTCATTGAAATATATATACGTACATGTCGTACATACAGGGAAAGCAAACGAGGGTTAACCGTGTAATCCTCTTACACCGAAACGCGGCATTAGGTCCGCTTGATTTTTTTTTTTTTTTTAGGCGCCAAACGATCTTTGCTAGGCGCCTATAAGAATACCATATGTATATAATATATATATATATATACATTATATATTTAATTTATGTCAATATAGGTCAATTTATTTAATTTATGAACCGGCTATGTAGACAAACATTTTTATTAAATTAGATTTGTCTGGTTTTCCAATCGTTTTCAATTTGTATATACAGGCTGTCCTACAAAGATATACCCCTTGAATATCTCCGGAGGTAGTAAAAATAATCGAATTCTGGTTTTTTTTTTTTTTTATATACTGCTCACAAGAATGAGGACGACAAATATTTATACTTGTATTCAATTTTTTTTTTTTTCAGTAAAAAAATTTAAAAAATAACTTTATTTTATTATTTCAGGAAAATTTTAAAATAGCCATTCTGTGGAATTTATTTTTCTGGCAATTTTAATGTATCACACATTTATATCCGATGATAAGTTTCTAAGTAACAGCAGTTTTAAATTCTACTAATCCGTGTAAAAACCAATATTATACGGTAACGCGGTTAGGTTACTCCTTAGATAACATTGGTTTTCATATATTTGTCGTCCTCATCTCCGTGAGTAATATAAAAATAAACAGAATTCGATTATCTTTATTATCTCCGAAGATATTTAAGGAGTATATATCTTCGTGGGACAGTTTATATACTGCTTTCAGTTCTCGACTACATTAGTTCGCTTGCAAATGTTTATAATCAATTTTATTGATAAAAATAATCAATATTTTCATTTTCATTTCTGTTATATGTTTTACGTGATGAGAATATTGATTTAAGAAAATCAGGCACAATACCTGCAGACAATCCATGTGTTTCTAAATTTATTTGTCAGTAATACCAATGCAAATGTTCCTTCTGCATCTGCACTCAAGAACTTATCGCTCATTGCTTCAAAAAAAAAAAATAGACTATTGTGGTAGTATAATGGATTTGATAACATTTGTAGCAGGTCCACTTCAAACCTCCAATAAACGATGTTTTTTTCAAAATCTGTTTGATGTTACCACTGGCATTGCCATTAATAATTTAGGAACATAATATACGATATAATGGATTATTAATCACGATTATTTTAGATAGTCCAAATAATAAGAATGTTTATTTTCATATTAGACGTAGCGTCGTATCCTAATAGTTATAAACCCGTGAGCAGCAGAGCTCCGTCCCTAGAGTTGAATTTTTTCCCTGCTGACATATCACTGTTACGATATTCCATTTATTTTTTTATAATTAACCTCAAATTATTGCGAGTATTTTATTACGTTTTAGCCTGTAGGGGTATTCAAAGTACGGCATTTCCCGTGAAATTATGAAATTTGAACATACAAATAGCTGAAGAAGAGTAGAAATTATAAATCCCTTGCAAAATGGCACATTCTTGATATTCATATCATGTATATACAAAATTTAATCTCTCTAGCTTCATTTCGGTGGTCTGTACAATGCTAAAACACTCTCCTTCCGTAACAACACGGTGAGTTTATATTGAAATTCAACCAAAATTATATCACTTCAATCCGCCAAACAATTTTAATTCTCGAGTTTGAGCCTGATTAGTCCAAAGGGAGCCGTTAAAATTATCCAAAAGTATCAGTCAAAAAATACGAGCAATGTTCTGGACAAAAATTACATACCAAATTGTAAAAAAAAAAAGATACACTTCACACGATGGATGGAACATTGTTGTAGTTGAGAAGTTGGTAAGGTTTTAATAGAGAAGAATTCAATACTATCTGTACGCAACGACTAATTATTGCTAACGAAAAACAATTTTGAGCAGAGTTCGGTTACACATGTTTTGAAAGGCCATAATACTTGCATTTATGATTTTCGTCAAAATTTGATTTTAGAAATCGTATTAAAAAAAAAAAAAAATACTACACTAAACTAAATTTTTTCTTGTTGACCACTAAGTATAACTTATAATGAACCTCTGTTGAAATCCTTTATTTGTACTACAAAACGATTAATGTATCTTTATCGATATTTCCAGAAAAAAGAAAAAAACAATTCATCCACCGTTAAATACCAGAAATAAAATGTGTTGCTGTGTGTGTCAATATATTATAATCTATCCGGCTATATTATAATAAGGACATCGCGGTAATGCAGTTTCGGAAACGTTACCTATTATATTATACAGACACACTTCATCGATGACAAACCTGAAAACGGCGAAACGGAACTCCGTCATCAAGGTCAACAATATTACCGATTTCACTCGGTGTAAAAGTCGATAAGTTGATGCTGAGCTCTAAAAGTAATTTATCTTATATACTTGTATTTTAAAGTAAAATTGTAAATAAAAACAACATCAGAAGCCCGAAAACGGTCTCCGGCTATGAGCCGCACATATATCCTGCGCAAAGATCTGGCAGAAAGTATTACTTCGTTCATTTCTAAAAACGTCGGATCCGTTATTTTAAGAACCCCCCGCGCCCTTTCGTTCTAGTTTTCAGTTCACTTGCCACGACTTTCCAAAAACGTTCGCCGAATTCGTATCCATGTGTCGATACGCCACGATCGTTTTGTGATCAGTTTAATACATCTATTCGGTCCGTATCACGATCCACACTCATCGATATTCGATACCAATATAAGTAGCTGGTGTACCTATTTACCGGTGGCGGATTGGCCCGGAGTGCTGAAGTGTAATCGCATCCAGGAGCCGATTTCCCGGGCCCTGAGTTAAGTACGTACTATGACATTTTTTTTTTAATATACGATATTATCGTATATTATCCAATATAGTTGATTGTAAGCAATTTTCACATCGAAATTGTACTATAAATATTTTATGACAATATTTTTATGTGTATATATATATATATATATATATAAATTGTACCTTTAAAATATTTTCCTATTATTTGCTACTTGTGTAGCATACATCTATAAGTATTTTGGTTTTCCATAAAACTAAAGGGCCTTGGAAATTAACAACAACCCAGGCCTTTTTATCGCAGGCCGCCACTGCAATTTACGGATTTTTAAAAATGCAGTCTAACATTACTCGTAAATATTTCGAAGAGATAAGTTTTTTCTTTCTTTATTTTTTGAGGGAAGGGAGCGTTAATTTACATACTAAAATTACAAGAGAATATGCATGTGAAAGTGAATTCTCTATTCGAAATACCTAAGTCCAGAGGAATGATCCGAAAATTTATTATTACTATAAATATTCGAAAATCTGAAACCAGACTATTAACATTAATAATAAGCTTAATTTAATTACTGACACCAGAATTGGATTAAAGAGGAACTGACGAGCACCATATCTCTACAGGGTGTACAGCAAAACATTTTTTCAAATTGTTTATAAAACGTTCATTTTTCACGTATTGTTCATATTCTCGATCGAATACGCGTGTAGGTACGCATTTCAGGTTTATGTTTTAACGCCTGTCCACGACAAATTTTTGATCTCGCTATTGCTAAAATCGCGGTGTTGGTCGCAATGGATTTTTTGGTACGATAATTTTCCGATTTAAAACTTTAAACGTTCGAAAATGTCCCTGGATGTCCTACGAAAAATCGAACATCACATATGTACATATTATTATCGCTATTTTAAATTATTATTAAATATTAATCAGTGTTGTATATTAAAATTTAATATTTTAAAATATTAATAAAAAAAACGAATAGTCGCGTATAGAAAAACAAAAAAAAAAAAATGTATATCGGATAAAAACCGTAATATATTAGGTATAAAAAACTATGCGACGATAAATTTGAAGACCTTGGAGCAAAAATCTGCAGATATTTAGAAATGATAAATACAAATTTCGGATTTGTCGGTCGGATATTTCGCCGGAATATTTTGTTTAGAAAGCATATTAGACGATTGTTGATTGTTTATCCCGATTCCCGAAATTCTAAAACAAGATAAATCCTAGGTGTAGGTATTTCTTATAACATTTAAACTCCAAATACACAATATCATAGACTTTAATACCTAATTATTTGTGTCAGATTTAATTCATTTTCACTCCAAAAAATTAAAAAATTTTTTTTTTTTATTTATTAATATTATACACATAGGTACTGTCAAAAAGTTATTTTTCGAAAAAAAGCCGAGTGTGTTCGGTCGCGGTGTTCCGATATAGGTCTTCATTCCTTTTTTATCGCCTATAATTATGTACCTTTTAATAATTTATCAACGTGCTTGTATCCATGTAAATAATTGTTTGTATTATTAATGAATTTTTTGATATTTTATGGTTGTTTTTTTTTTTATATATATACACGAGCGTAATACCTACCTAATATTACATATAACCATAATATTATTATTCATGTGTGTACACGTTAAGTTTTTCTTTTAAATGTAATTTTATATCGACAAATGTATATCATATGTATCATATTATTACTGTTATTATTAAACTATACTATTCTATTATGTTATTTAATATTGCGTTGCTCAATAATGTACTATATTTTATAATTTATTATTATAATTATATATATATATATTTTTTTTTTTGAGAAATATTTACGTTTCTATGTAGAAAAAATTGTTTGTTAACCGAAAAGAGTTTGTTATAATAATATATTAATATAATCGTGTTTATTCGACAATTTTATGATAATATTTTAAATTTATAATAATAATGATAATATAATATGATAATATTGTATAATAAAACCGTTTTAACATTTCCGCTGATTGCGTTTAACGTGTTTTGTGAATTTAATTATATTTTAAACGGTGTCCACAATGTTTTCTATCGTTTAAAATAATAATATTGTAATATCCACAGGGTGTTCACATGCGGAATAGACAGATATATAAACAAGTGAGTTAAGTTGCTAAGCCGATCTTATCTACCCGAAGCAATTATGCATAATGCGTATGTGTTGGTATCTTAAAATCTATATAATAAATGTACTATTCCTTAAATAGAACATGCACTCCTCTGACATCTGCATTTTCTAGGAGAATTTGAGCAAAGGCATATTGGTAACTATACAATTTTCCTCAATTTTTTCTGTTTTATCCATGCAAGCCATGGCTAACCAACTGAGTCTATTCTCTGGCATAGTGCGAACATTCTTAAATTTGTGTTCATACGAACTCACAGTAGACATTTTTTCAGGTGTGAAAAAAATTATTGGAACCGTAGTTAACATTTAAACCGCAAAATAATACGCATGTTAAACACGGCCCCAATAATCGCCTTAGACTCGTTAACCCCACTGGCTGCACTTCTGTTATAGATATATAAAACAATATAATATTATTAAATTTCCTGTATAGAGATCTTGTTATAGTTTGCGGTTCCCCCTGTCTAAATGTTTAACTGTTATAATATTATTTGCTATAATTAAACTATTACTCATATACTGTTTATGCAAGAGAGACTATATACTTACTACGCACTATGCATATGCCCACTACCTGATATGTAATAGAATACAAATTCCATCGTCCAACAGGTTTTTGCTTGTTAAAAGGTTTTTGATAATTTTGCCATTATGGCATACACCATACAAATGGAGGTAAAAATTTAAATAATATAATATTTTACTATGTAGTGACGTGATATTAAACAACACTTTTTTTTTGCAATGTACATGACTGTGAACGAAAACTATTTTGTTTTAATTTGGTATACTTAAATAGAATTAAATATAAAAACACTAAATAATTAAATCTAAATTCACAGTATGTATAGGAACAATGGGGACATTTGCGCATACTAAACAATAATCATAAAAATAGTGTAAAAACGTTTTCCCCTGGATTCCCTATTCCTTGTTTCAATCTCCGTCACTATCACTGCAATGTTATGCAATTGATAATATGCAATTTTTTACTATTAAATTGTCAAGCATTTCCCTTAAATCATATACAACCATCATATAACCAAATAAAAATACATTAAAAAAAACGAAAATATCAAATACCTATAAATAGCCTAAAAATAGTTAGAATGTTTTGAAAATCGTAGTAAATAATTGTTGAACTATTAAGGACGCGTCTCATGAAAATATGAAATAATATTAGTATAACGAACATTAAAACCCTACCAGTAATAATCTGTCCATAATATTTCATTTATAGAATTCTTCAAAAAACGCTTGCAATTCCCCCAACACGCCTGCCGCCTGATGACCTATTGTGTGAGAATGTGCAAAAGCGGACGAGAATTTCGATCGGTCGCCGTATAAGTTCCCTCGTGGTACGGAATTTAAAAACTTGTGATAACGTTATTGTAAATATATTATCATCCTTATAGTAAATGAATGGTGATGTTTTTTTTCTGGTATATTTTAATATTATATAATATAATTTGTCTTAATAAGACGTTAAGACATTATCGAGGGTCCGGGAGGCGATCGCCCCTTCGCCTCCCTTGCCAATCCGTCCCTGTTCATATAGTAAATCATCAACTTTTTCTCCTGTAAACATAAGTGGCGCAATAAAAAAAAACAAAATCTTCACCCGTGTACAGCAAACATATAATTAAAATTGTTATAAATAATAGAATTTATATACACAAAATATTATAAATAATTCGTCGCCCAGGCAGTATTTCTGCGACCCGTGCCGTCACGCTGGTTGGTTACATACCTACAACAATAATACAAAACATGCCGTAGCGAAAGCGGACAAAATTAATTTCGTCGCATCAATAAGAAACTTAAATTTGTTCATGGAAATTTATACGCATATATGACCAGTAGAAAGAGATGACTGTCGTTTTTTTTCTTCTTTTTATCGTTCTCCGCTATACATTCCTCTTGCAACCGACATCATCGCGCACAACAGCTCAATCATTCGGGCGTCATTTAATACCCACTTTCAGTCGTTGCTTTTATATATAATATTATGATGATGCCCGACCTTTGTTATATCGCAGAAATGTTTAATAGGTACAGTATATAATATACCGTAGAACTCGTGTTAAATTTCCATAAAATCCGCTCATCACTACTGCTGCTGCGTTCATATCTTCTCCCCCATGTTGTAATATCATCGTACCGTTAAATCATTTTAAGGAAGAAAGAATAGGAGTTGAGGGATTCAAACCCAACTCAACATTTGTTCTAAAACAGGTATCTATTGTTTATAAATTTCAAAATAAATGCTTATTATGTTGGAACAAAAATAATGGTTGATTAAATTCAAAACCCCTTCAAAAATGTCATCCTCTTACGGCCCTGATTTTTAGCCAGGCAATATTTTTGTTTTTGAACCGGCTAAGAGTAGATACAGCGTTAGGTAAGCAGGTATCCAGGTATTAGTCGCCCAATAACTGAATCTAAATTGATCATCCTAACCACATGTAAAACGTGTTTTATATCCACGCTTCTTCCTGTTATGTTCTTCACTATATACATTGACAAAAGAGCGTTTTACTCCATAAAACTCCTTGTCATAATGAACTGCAATATATTGTCTACCTATAATTACACCAAAAATAAAATTATAACTTTAAAACGATAATATATTTTTACTAAATACAAGCTGCCTTAAAATGAAGTGAATAGGAACGATTTTAAGATAAGAGATTTTCTGACAAATATTTTAGATAGTTAATGTAAGTTACACAATATCTTAGTATAAAATATTGAACTCGGGTTCCTCCTTATTTTTTAACACATTTTTATTATTCTTTTAGTTAAAATATTAAAACACCATATTACCTATTATTATTAAATTATGGAGATGTTAAATAGTTTTTAAAAATTGTATTAAAATTTTAAAAAAAATATATATAAAAAAGGACTAACATATTTCACACGTGAAGCAGACAGACAGCCATTTTTCTAGGTCGGAAATTGGAAAAGAAGGATACAGATGGGAATTTAATGTATATCTGTAAGCAAAGATAAAATATTGCTAATGAAAATCTGATTCTGTGCGGAGTTCAGTTGATAGTGTTGCATTGTCAAAAGTATACATGTCATATTTTAGTAAAATAATTACAACAATGTGCGTTTCCATGACAATAATGATTGTTTAGAATATATTAAAATAAAAAATAAATAAAAACGGTTGCCAATGACAACCTTATTTTTAATCTTTCAATCTTTTTAACCTAAAGAACCAGGTGTTCCTTATTGTCTCGAATATTAATGAGTATTTCAAAAAATGACCTCTCTAAAGTACCACCTATATAACATTTTCTATCAGAAAAGGTACTATACTTGATAATTGGAGTAAACTTTTTCAGGTAAAAAAAGTGTTCACATAAAAAAAAAATAAAAATCTTTGTAAAACCAAAACATTCTTCGCTAAACTCAGAACCTAAAATAATATGAACTCAGTTCATAATATTGAACTGATACAAAGCATAATTTATTAGTATGTACACGCAGAGTGCACGATATTCGTATCAAATTAATGAATTTCTGTAACAAAATCAAAATTTAAACTGTTTTAGAAACTGTTATGTCCCTAGGTACTCAAATTATTATTATCGATCA